ACATAACCTAAACGTTTGTATGCCCGTAATACGCTAAAATAAAAAAAAAGTAAAGGAAATATTTTCGACTCTTGTGCTTTGGGATGCTATTATAGACAAAGATGAACCTATGGTCAAAGCACAACTTTCCTCTCATGAAGTATCTGAAAGCTTGGTAGAAACACATAAATCTATGTGCACAAGAGTTGAACACATCTCTTCAATTCTTCAGCTTCTTTTATCACACCCTCAGAGAAGCCCTCTCTGTTAATAAAAGCTAGCCAGAAAATTATAAAGAGGATAAAAATTATTTTCAAATTTTGTAGTACAGAGAAAGACACGAGGATGGTTTAGACAGAGGGCTCTCTGGAAGGAACTGGATGGGTTAGTGCCTTTCATTGCCTTTCATTCGACAAATATCTTGCCAGTGCTTCTATAGTACCAGCTACTATTCTAGGTACTCAAGATACATCTGTGACTAAAACAAAGATATTTACCCTCATGAAGCTTACATTCTAAGGAAGGAAGACAGACAAATAATGAACATAACACATAAATTTTAAAGTGATAGATATTGTGAAAGAAATTTAAAAAGCTGTGAAGGGCCTCACAAGTAGAAGAGTGAGGGTAAGCTGAAATAGTGAACAGTTACAGAAAGCCTCATCGTTAAGGTGAGATTTGAGCAAAGACTCGAAGTGAAGCAGTTACTCGAGCAGATGCGCAGGGAACAGACAGAGCGAAGGCTTTAGTGAGAAGCACACCCACAGTGTCTGAGGAACATAAGGAAGCCAGTGTGGATACAGCAAAGTGAACAAGTAGGGAGAAGTAGCGAAGGAAGTTAGGAAGGCAACAGAAGCCCTCTCAACAATCTTCACTACTCCATATAATGATCACTATAAACAATATCTGCCTTGCACTCGAAGCACTTCGAGCTAAATTTCCATTAGCTGCATCTGCATGGATAGCCAGTCATGATTTCCCACCCAGTTCTGGTGATTAGTGGCAGCCAGGGTATGGCCATGACACAGGGAAAACTTATCTCACAAAGAAAATGACTTTGGCTTCATGTACACAATGCTCATACAATCTAACCAAAACACAAAAACCTTACACCTGTTTTTCTTCAGCTGACAGATTCAAGAATGACCATGTGTAATTTTAAAATACAAACCATTTACTCCAAACATTAGCCATGTGCTATATTACACCACTGTCACTGGAAATACCACTATGAACCATGACCTATAAAAAGACACAAGGCATGTACTTCAACACAACGAAGACAAGCCCTTTATCAAAACTTGACCAAAATGTAGGATCAATCAAGGCCAAAATGGCTAGCAACAGAGACACTTTTAACAGACATAAAGAATAGTCTTCTACTTAAAAGCTCCCTCTCAGGCTGGGCACTGTGGCTGACACCTGTAATCCTAGCACTCTGGGAGGCCAAGGCAGGAGGACTGCTTGAGGTCAGGAGTTTGAGAACAGCCTGAACAAGAGTGAGACCCTGTCTCTACAAAAAAATAGAAAAATTAGCCAGGCAAGTGTCTGTAGTCCCAACTACTCAGGAGGAGGCTGAGGCAGGAGGATTGTTCAAGCCCAGGAGTTTGAGGTTGCACTGAGATACGATGATACCACTGCACTCTAGCCCGGCAACAGAGCAGGACTCGATCTCAAAAAAAAAAGAGCTCCCTCTCAAAATTCACTAAAAAGACAGGAAAGAAACAAAACGGCATACTCCCAAGAAGTCAAATAGACCAAGAACAGAACCAAATACAAGCAAATGTAAATAATATTTTAAAGCTAGGAAGCAGAGGTACAAGTGATAACTAACATAACAAGCCAAAAACAAAACACAAAACAAAACAAACCCAACAAATTTAAAACTAAGTGCCTGCAATAGAGGAAAGCCAAGGAGAAACTTGTGCAGCATAGAACCTGGAAAGGCTTAAGAGCTGGAAGCAGCGGCACCTCTAAAATCTGGAGTGGCAATGCGGCAGAGAACAAGAATGCAGAAAAGCTGTATAAAAGCAGCTAGACTTCCTGTGGTCAGCACAGCAAGGCAACTATCCCCTCTCCAACCCCAGTGGAAGAGTGGCGATTTACCCTAAGGAGAGTCTGAACAGAAGAGATTATGAACTAAGAAAGAAACAGGTAAGCAAACTAGAGGGTCAGCCCTAAGATGTCTAACATCCAACTAACAAAGAATACAAAAAAAGAAAACAAAATTCAGACAAAATTATCAAAGAATACAGCAAAAGTCAGAACTGAAAGACATGAGTTATCAGATTAGAAAGGTTATTGAGAGCCACAAAAATACTGAATAAAAATAAACACATACCAGCACATATCACCGTGAAATTTAAAAGCACTGGAAATAAAGATTAGATCCTAAGTCTTCAAAAAGAAAAAAAAAAACCACAAAGGATACTGGTTTTCATTTTAAGCCTTATTTTTAGAAGTGTATTATTTTGACAAAAATAAATTTTTTTAATAAAAGAAGGGCTATACTGAATGCTTCCTGTTGAACTGGTTATAAACAGTAATTGATTATGTAAAATTCCACTGAACTATAGACATCCCAAGTATCTTTTTTTTTTTTTTTTGAGTCAAGTTCTCACTCGGTGGCCTAGGGTGAAGTGCAGTGGTGTCATCATAGTTCACTGCAACATCAAATTCCTGAGCTCAAGCAGTCCTCCTGCCTCAGCCTCCCAAGCAGTTGGGACTACAGGCACACACCA